ATATATATATATATATATATATATATATATATATATATATATATATATATATTCAATTATGTATATGTATATGCATAAAAGATTTATTTACAGTTTTATGAGATAAGATATTGAAAGAACTGTTTTGTGTAGTATTACAGAAAATACTAAATTACTAGGTAAAATAAATGAAAGAAATATTTTGTTTGTTTAAATGTGTATATATATTTATTTCTGGTAGCTGTTAATGGACTTTTGTTGATTAGTATTCAGTTGTGAGGTTTTATGATTTACTAATAGATAAAAGATGAGATACATTTTCAGTAACATCATCTTCTTTAACATTTCAGCCTACATTTTACTGGTCTTGGTGAAGGGAAATGTGATATATATGACTATATATAAGTGACTTCTCCCTTCCTCAAGACCAGTAAAATCTCTTCATTTTCTTTATGAAGAGATTTTAGGCTGAAATGTTAGAGACGGAGATGTTACTGAAATTGTATCTCATCTTTTATCTATTAGCAAATCATAAAACCACATAATTCAATCTTAATCAAGAAAAGTCCATTAACAAGTACCAGAAATAAATATAAATACATAAAATAAATCAATTTCATATTCCTTTCATTTACTTTAGCCAGTAACTTACCATTTTCTCTAATAATACAAAAAATGACTTCTTTCCATATCTTATCTCATAACTATACATAAATCTTTAAAGCTTCATCATTCAAAATTCATTTTAAAAATTCATTAAAAGCTACCCGAAACAACATATTGAATTTTACTCCCATCAAATAATGTCCTATAAATTAATTTCTCATCATCTATTCATCTCCTTTCGGAAACTCCTTCACAAGTTCAACAGTTTCCTTTCATTTTAATACCATAGCTGTTCACTTTCTCTGAAAATAAAAAGAAAAAATAATTTCCTCTTTCTATATCTTATCCATAAACAAATCTTTAAAGCCTCACCACTGGGTGACAATTTGTTTCCAGGTTCAATTAAAGTTTAGGTTTTTTTTAGGTTTTATTTGCATTTGTAGGCCGCCCTTTCCCCTGAGGGGACTCAGGGCGGCTCACAGAAAACCAGGGA